TCTAGACCCGAAACATCAGCTTTCCTGCTCTTCTGATGCTGCTTGGCCTGCTGTGTTCATCCAGCTCTACACCTTATTATCTCAGATTCTCCAGCATCGGCAGTTCCCACTATCTCAAGTGCTGGGACCCCTGTTTTTTTGTAATATATAAATGATTTGGATGAAAGTGTTTGTAAGTCTAAGTCCAATTCGAAAGTTTACAGACGACATGAAAATTGGTTGAGTTGTGGATAATGACGAAGGTTGTCAAAGGATGCAACAGGATGTAGATCAGTTGGAAAGTTGGGCAGAGAAATGGCAGACAGAGTTTAATCTGGACAGGTATGAAGTCGTGAATTGTGGGAGGTCAAAAGGAAAGTATACAGTGAATGGCAGGACCGTTAGGAGCATTGATAAACAGAGGGATCTTGGGGTTGCAAGTCCATAGCTCCCTGAAAGTGGCAACACAAGTGGAGAAAGTGGTAAAGAATGCAAAGAGTATGCTTGTCTTCATTGGTTGGGGCATTGAGTGCAAAAGTTGGCAAGTATTGTGGCAGCTGTATAACACTTTTGTTAGATCCCATTTGGAGTATTGTGTGCAGTTTGGTCACCACCCTGTAGGAAGGATGTGGAGGCTTTAGATAGGGTGCAAAAGAGGTTTACCAGGGTGTTGCCTGAATTGGAGTGCATTTGCTATAAGGAGAGGGTAGACAAAGTTGGAATGTTTTCACTAGAGTGGCGGAAGCTGAGGGGCGACCTGATAGAAGTGTATAAAATTATGAGAGGCATGGATAGGGTGGATAGTCAGTTTCTTTTTCTCAGGGTGGAAATGTCAAATTCTAGGGGGCAGAGATTTAGAATGAGAAGGGAAATGTTTAAAGGAGACGTACAAGGCAAGTTCTTTATTCAGAGCTTGGTAGCTGCCTGGAACCCGCTGCCAGGCCGGTGGTAGGAATAGGTACAATAACATTTAACAGGTATTTAGAACCAGCAGAGAGCAGAGGGATGTGGACCATGTGTAGGCACATGGAATTTGTCTATAATGATATCATGGTTGGTATAGACATGGTAAGCCAAAGGGCCTGTTCCTATGCTGTCTTGTTCTATGTTCTATGAGATAAGCTCGTGAGCATCGGTTCCTTGTCACTAAACTGAGCTGACACTTGACCTCCCGCTTTCTCTCCTCATCCAGCTCACAGATCAACGAGCTGTTTGATGCAGGAATATCCAGAAGGACTTGCAGCCTCAAAAACAATCACTTGTATTTCTGGAGAAAATGAATGGAAAAGAAATACTAAACCAGATATCCTATCCAATGCTGAGAATGTGCTTACAGAATAATGTTTAAGAAAATAAAGAGATTATCTTTTCATTATTCGTTCATAGAATGTGGACATCATTGGCATTCATCATTAATCCCTAACTACCCTGGCAAAGTTAGCAAGGGGATGTTTTCCTCAATCACTGACACCTACAACACAGTTAAGGAAGGAGCTTCGTGATTTTGACCCAGTGACACAGAAGGAGCAGCAATATATTTCTGAGTCAGGATGGTGAGTGGTTTAGAGGTGAACTTGCAGGTGGTTGTGGCCCCATGTCCCTTGTCCTTCGAGCTGGTAGAGGACATGTGTTTGAAAGGTGACAGTTAGGATCCTTGGTGAATTACTGCAGTGCACCTTGTTGATGGTAAATGCTGCTGCCACTGTGCATCAGTGGAGAGAATGATTGTTTATGCATGAGGAAGTGTTGCTAATCAAGTGATCCTCTGGCCTGGATGGTATTGAACTTCTTGCTTGTTATAAAGTTATAGACTCATAGAGGTCTACAGTGTAGAAAAAGACTCTTTGGCCTATCGAGTCTGCACTGGTCAAAAAACAATCTCCTAACTATTCTAATTCTATTTTCAGCACTTGACCCATAGCTATGTATGCCTTGGCATTACAAGTGTACATCTAAGTATTTCTTAAATATTACATGGGTTTCTGCCTGTACCACCCTTACAGGCAGTGATCCCAGATTCCCACAGTTGATTACTAAAGTTCGGAAATTGTAGCCAAATATAAAAAATAGAATATCTAATTCATTAATTTCCTTTAAGGAAGGATATCTACCATCTGACCAGTCTGGCCTACATCTAACTACAGGCCCATGTGGTTGACCCTTAACTGCCTTCTGATGTGGCGCAGCAACTCAGCTAATTGTGACAAACTGCTGACTGCCATCACCTCAGGCAACTAGGGACAATAAATGCTAGTGACACACAGACTCATACAGTTCAGAAGAGGCCTTTTAGCCCATCAGGTCTGCACTAACAAAAGTAAAACCAATATCTATCTACACTTAGGGTGGCATGGTGGCTCAATGGTTAGCTCTGCTACCCCAGGAAGCCAGGTTTGATTCTACCCTTGGGCGACTGTGTGGAGTTTACATATTCTCCCTGTGTCTGTGTGGGTTTCATCCGGGTGCTTTGGCTTCCCCCCATAGTCCAAAGATGTGTAAGTTAGGTGGATTGGCCATGCTCAATTGCCGATAGTGTTCAGGGATGTGTAGGCTAGGTGGATTAGCCTTGGGAAGTGCAGGGTTATGGGTGAAGGTTTCAGTGGGCAGCATCTGAGGAGCAGGAAAGTTGACGTTTCAGGTCGGGATGCTCCTGGCTACCTGATGCTGCCTGGCCTGCTGTGTTCTTCCAGCTCCACATTGTGTTATCTCTGACTCCATCATTGGCAGTTCTTGCTATCTCTGAGTGTTTACAGATAGCTCACCAATCACTGTGACTAAACAATTGATGATGAAATGGCATCAAGCCCAACGTAAAGCATTTTGGGGAAGGGGTGGTTTGGTAACCCTGAAAGGAAAAAAAATCCCAGGCTGAGAGGGTATTGAAAATTCTGTAAAAGTCAAGCGATTCAGTGTGGGATGCTCTTCAGAGAGTTAGTGTGGATTTTTTGGGCCAAATGGCCTGTTTCCACACTGTATGGATTATATGTTTTACATTAATCCCACTTTCCAGTACTTGGCAAATAGGTTTGAACATTATGACATTTCAAGTGCTCATCCACATACCTCTAAAGTTTATGAGGCAGAAGTTGAAGCCACCATTACACACATAAAGACTTATAAAAAAAAATGCACGAGCAGACCCAGCAGAGATTTTCAAACTTGGAGGAGCAGACCTTACCTGTCATCTCTGAACTAACTCCACAGAGGCTGGTATCCCATCATCAAGTCACCCTGTATTTACATGTGGAGAATCCTTGACACTGATCCAGCTCCCTCAGAGCCAGTTCTCCCAGAGTGAACAGAATGTCTAACACCCCTGTTCTTATTTGTCGGCTTGGTCTCTCTGATTCAACCAGGTTAACAGCCCCAATCTGGGAACTCATATTCTATGATGTCCACTTGGTTGACCTTGTTACAATCACTACATCCCTCCCCCTCTGAGTGCGAGGACATAGGCCTGTCCTTTTTTTTGTAGCTCCTCCTGGAGCATTTTAACACCAGGTCATGTTCCTCCAACTCTGCCTCGGATATGGGCAGCATATAATGCACAGTAGCTCCCCTCTTGTGCCTGCAGCATCTCGGAAGGAATTCATTCTCCTCTTCAGGCAGCAAAGGCATTGAGGTGGTGATGTCCACCGTGTCCATCTCAGGTTCCAAGGTATCTTCAACGCTTGACAGAAACGGAGAATCCAGGAGTTCCAGAACAGTCAGAAAGGTAGTCGAGATTGCGGACACATTTTGCTCCCACACCATTTGTGAGTTTGCAGCTTTCATATGGTCCACATGCTTGTTCAGGACTGTCACACCTACCCGAACTTTAAACGTCACTGGACCTGACCTCACATCAGCCATGCTTCTTATGCATGCAGGACCATTCCTGTGGTTCCTCCACCAAACTTCATCCCCTGAAGTAAACTGCCTCACTCCCACCATGGAACTGTTTCCATCCCCACACAGGATTATAATTCTGCACCCCTCTTTCATCCCAGACCGAACTGCTTAACTTTTACAGAATTTTCCAAACACTCTCAACCTGGGATTTCTTCCTTCCAGGATTACCAAACCACCCTTCCCCAAAAATGCCTTACTTTGGGCTTGATGCCATTTCATCACCAATTGTTATGAGTCACAGTCATTGGTGAGCTGTGTGTTAACACTGACCACTGAAATCTTCACAGGCCTTGGTGAATTTCAGGCCTGTTATCAATGTCTGTACATTGCTCATTCATCCTGTCTGATATCTGACTATTGTTAAAATTTACACAATGGTTATCAGAGAAATTCTGTCAGAGAAATGTGTCAATATTTAACATGAACCAAGTGAAGAGGTTAAATTGTGGTGAATAATTCATATAGACTGTAGAAGATTAAATAGTATTTTCATTGGCAACATAATCCCAAGTCCCAAACTACAACACAGTCAGCACTATTTCTCCGCTTGACAATACTTGATAACTAATTTCAATTAATTATTCCTTCCTGGGATGTGAGCAAGTTCAGAATTAATTGTCCATCTCTATATATCATTGAAATGAGCAGCCTTTTTGAACCATTGCAGTCCATGATGAGTAGGGACAGCCACAATGCTGTACGGGAGGGAATTCCAGGATTTTGACCCCATAACTGGGAAAGAACAGCGATATATTTCCAGGTCAGGATGACGAGTGGCTTGGAGGGAACCTGAAGGTGATGATGTTCCCACATAACTTGTTCTTCTGGATGGCTAAGTTTGTGTGTTTGAAAGGTACTGTTGAAGGATCCCTGATTAATTGCTGCAGTGCATCTTGTAGATTATATACACTGCTTGTCATGCTGCTAGAGGTTTATAGTTCATCCAGAAGTTAATGCAGCATAAAATATACTATTGTTATGAACTAAAAATAGTTTGAAAATTTTGGAAGCCATGAGAATTGTTGTTTAAATCTCTATGATTTTCTAACTGCTGTCATTTACTCTACAGCCTTCTCCAGGAGTTACTCAGATCCAGGCCCTGGGAGTAGAAATCATTGTTACCTTCCAGCTTGTCATGTGTGTATTAACGATTTCACATGAGGAAAGCAACTTTGAAGGGTCTGCGCATGTGGCCCTTGGAGCATCTGTGACCCTTGGACATTTAGTGGCAGTAAGAATGATACATTTTTGTTTTTATTCTTACAGTGTCACAATTAATTTTTGTAAACTGAATGTATAGTTTGTCAATTCCACAACCATGGCACAACAATCCTGAGGCACAATACAGCCAGGGCAGAGAACAGACTGGGGAGATTACAACACTGGGCAAGCTCCTATGTGGGCAGAACACAGCAATAAGTGTTACACACCCAACAAAAACAGAAATTGCTGGAAATATTGTTGTTGCAAGCCAAACCTCTCTGAAGCATGGAAAATTTACAAGGGGGACACTAATTCCTTTGAATTTATGACTGACATAAAAGTACATATCCAAGTGTTTTATTAATTTGCAATGTGGGTTTCTGTCTCTACTACCCTAAGGCAGTGAGTTCCAGGTGCCCAACATCTGCTGGGGCAAATGTCCTCTATAACTCCCCTCTAATCATTTTACTTTACTCCCTGGATATTAACCTCACTAAGGGAAGTAGCTTCTTCCTGTCCATTATACCCATCAGAATTATGTCACTTCAATTAAATTTCGCATCAGCTTCCTCTATACCAAAGAAAAATTCCTACCCTAACCAGTCTTTCCTCATTGCTAAAATTCTCCATTCTTGGCAACATCCTCACAAGCTTTTTCTGTATTCTCTCCATTCTGATTACATCCTTCCCATGCCATGGTGAACTGAACAACGTATTCCAACTGTCATGTAACACGTCTTTTATATAATTCCGGTTCATCTTCCATCACATGTGCCTTCCTAACCATATTACCGACTTGTCCTGCTAACATCAGAGATCTGTGGACCAGCATATGAGGTTTCACCGCTCCTCACACTTCTCAGAATTTTTTACCATTTCTTGTTATTTTCTTTGTCTTGATTTTTCCTTCCCAAATGCATTGCCTCACACTTCTCTGGATTGGATTCTATTTGTTGATTTTCTGCCCACCTAATTATTCCACCAATATTTTAGAGAAGTACTTCCCAGATTATCCTGGATGCTGCCTGGTACATGAAAATATAAATACAGAGAAAGGTTTGAAAAATTGGGGCCATTTTCATGGTTATGGAGCAATGGGGATTTGAATAATAGAGATGTGATGGCAGATAGGAGCAGACTGCTCCAGTATTTATGGGTTAAGAGCATGGAGTTACAAGGACAGGATTCAATGAGAAAAGTTTTGAGTGAAGGACAGGGAGTCATAGACAAAGAACATAGACTCAGAGAAACTTAAAACACTGAAGAAGACCATTGATGTCATTCTATATCTGCTGCTCTTAAAACCCTCCCAGTGCCAACCCTACCCAGATCCCCACCTCTTAGATTAGCCCTACTCAGAAACTGTACCACCTTGTCCCACAACCCCAGGCACAATGCTTCCCCAGCCCCAGAATAGCCCCATCCAGATACAGTTGCTTCCCAGCAAGACTCAGTCCTACTTAGGTACAGGCCCCTAGGTATTGCCCATCCTTGCAGGAACAGCTCTCCCAGGAACAGCTACACACCTGATAATTTTCTCATTAGCATTCTTCACTTTAAATAATTAATCTTGTATTACTCCTGCTTTCCCCAGAATTAAGGCTTATCATTATATTTGCTGCCCGAAGGGTGATTGGTATATGTCTGTTTTTGTATCTCATGATCCTAGTTATTGGAACTGTATTGGAAATGCCTGAGTTGTTTGAATGCACAGATTATTCATTTATCTAAGGTTCCTGTTTCTGTTCCAATAATTGCAGTAACCATTTAAAACACAGGATTTTAGCTCCTTTAGGACAAAAATGCAATCCGGATCTAGTATGGTCCAGATTTCTCTTAAAATGTCTCCATGTTTTGGCCTGTCAAAGGTCTGGTAGCCTCTCACTCTGCTATTCTACACTGTTTGCAGATTGGATTTACTGGGTGCAGCATGAATCCTGCTCGATCCTTGGGACCAGCTGTCATTACAACAAACTTCAGCCATCATTGGGTAAGTGAAGTGTCCAGCCCAGCCCAAAAGCTATATATATCTCCTTTCTTCATTAAGATGTGAAATCAACAGTGGAGACCATATTATGTCACACATCAGCACAATTGGTCAAAATATGACTGTCCATTAATTCAATCTCATAGTCTTATAGATGTTCACAGCGCAGAAGGCCATTCAGCCCATATTGTCTGCACCAGTCAATAAAGAGCTGACTACATTAATCCCTTTTTCCAGCTTTTGGCCCACAGCCCCAAAGACAGTGAGTTCCAGATTCCCATCACTCTCTGAATTAAAGAATTTCTTCTCAACTCTCCTTTTAGCCTTCTATCTGTTACCTTAAATCTACATCTTCTGGATATTAACCATTCTACTAATGCAAAATATGTCTTTTCATCCACCAGATATATGACTCCCCTAATCTTATACACCTCTATCACCCTTTGCCGCTCCAATGAAAACAGCCTCAGCCTATCCAATCTTTCCTCATAACTCAGACCCTCCAGCCCAGACAGCATCCTGGTAAATATTCTTTGCATCCTCTCTGTTGCAATCAATCCGTCCTATAATGTGGTAACCAGAACCACACACAGTACTTCAATTGTGGCCTAAGCAGGATTTTATATTGGTCTAAAATAATCTTCTTGTTCTTGTATGCTATGTCTCAGCTAATAATATATCTCATATGCCTTCTTAACCACTTTAATACTTGAACTGCTACCCAAGGGAATCTGTGGATGTGCACACCACTGTCACCTTGATCTTTAGTACTTTTCAGAATCCTGCCATTCATACCCTAATCATTTTCTTCATTAGCCCTCCCAAAGTGGATTAACTCACACTTTTCCACAATGAAATTAGGGCATGGTTGGGAACACTTGGCTAGGATATCATAGCTATTACGTAACTCAGGAATGGACAGAACTGGCAGCTTAATGCTCTGGGGTACAGGGAAGATAGAAAGGGAGGCAAGAAAGGAGACATTTTTGATTAGGGAGAACATTGCGACTGTACTTAGGGAGGATATTCCTGGGAGACTGTCCAGTGAAGTTATTTGGGTGGAAATTAGAAATGAGAAAGGGATGATCACCTTGTTAGGATTGTATTATATGCCCCCCAATACTTAAGGAGATCTCAAATATCTGTAAGAAAAATAGGGCTGTAACGTTAGGGAATTTTAACTTTCCAAACATAGACTGTGACTATCACAGTGTTAAGGTCTTTGATGGGGAGGAATTTGTTAAGTGTATGCAAGAAAACTTTCCAATTCAAAATGTGGATGTACCTGCTAGAGAAAGAGCAATATTTGACCTTCTGTTGGGAAATAAGACAGGGCAAGTGCCTGAGGTGTCAGTGGGGAATACATTGAGGCAAGCGATCATAATTCTATTTAGTTTTAAAACAGCTATGGAAAAGGATAGAGACAACAAAACTGCAGATGCTGAAATCCAAGGTAGACAAACCGGAGGCTGGAAGAACACAGCAAGCCAGGCAGCATCTGGAGGAAAGGAGCAGTCAACGTTTTGAGTATTACCCTTCTTCAGCCCAGAAGAAGGGTAATACCCAAAACATCGACTGCTTCTTTCCTCCAGATGGAAAAGGATAGAACTGATCAAAAAGTTAAAGTTCTAAATTGGAGAAAGGCCAATTTTGACAATATTAGACCGGAACTTTCAAAAGTTGATTGGAGAAGGCTATTTGCAGATAAAGGGACAGTTGGGAAACTTTTTAAGAATGAGATAACGAGCGTTCAGAGACAATATGTTCCTGATAGTGTGAAGAGCAAGGCTGGTACGTGTAGGGAATGCTGGATGACTAGAGAATTTGAGGCTCTGGTCAAGAAAAAGAAGGAGCCATCTGTCAGATCTAGACAGCAGGGATTGGGTGAATCCCTAGAAGAGTATAAGGGCAGTAGGAGTATACTTAAGAGGGAAATCAGGAGGGCAAAAAAGGGACATGAGATAGCTTTGGCAAATGGAGTTAAGGAGAGTCCAAAGAGCAATACATTAAGAGCAAAAGGATAACTAGGGAGAGATTAGGGAGAATAAAGATCAAAGTGGCCATTTATGTGTAGAGCCACAGGAGATGAGTGAGATAATAAGCAAATATCTTGCATCAGTATTTGCTGTGGAGAAGGACATGGAAGCTAGGGAACATGGAGAAATAAATAGTGACACCTTGAAAAGAGTTCATATTACAGAAGAGGAGGTGCTGGATGTGTTAAAACGTAGAAAGGACTTGATCAGGTGTTTCCCAGAACTTTGTGAGAAGCTAGGGAAGAGATTGCTGGGCCCTTTGCTGAGATATCTGTATCATCTATATGTAAGGAAAAACGAAGAAACTATAGACCGGTGAGCCTTATGTAAGTTGTTGGAGGGGATTCTGAGGGACAGGATTTTATGCATTTGGAAAGATAAGGACTGATTAGGGATAGTCAGCAAGGCTTTGTGCATGGGAAATCATGTTGCACTAACTTGATTGAGTTTTTTGAGGAGGTGACAAAGTAGTTTGATGAGGGCATAGTGGTAAATGTTGTCCATATGGACTTCAGCAAAATGTTGGGCAAGGTTCCATATGGTATAACAAGGTGTAGAGCTGGATGAACACAGCAGGCCAAGCAGCATCAGAGGAGCAGGAAGGCTGACGTTTCAGGCCTAGACCCTTCTTCAGAAATGTTCCACATGGTAGACTGGTTAGTAAGGTTAGAACACAAGGGATCCAGGGGGAGTTGCCAATTGGATACAAAATTGGCTTGAAGGTAGGAGACAGAGGGACGTGGTGAACGGTTGATTTCTCTATAGAGGGCAGTGCATTGGGAGTCTGCATTCTGCTGTTATTGAAACTTAGAGGCTGGAGTGGCAACACCTGTTGCAACTGAGAGCAGTTGGAGCTAATCGAGGCCGGAGCCTGGGGCTTCAGGTGCTGCAGTCTTCCTGCCTGGAAGGACTCAAACTTGGGACTTGCTGCTGCCCTGAGTAGTATGGTAGCCTGTGTTTTTGTTTGGCTGGTGCCAACGAGGCTTGTTCCTGGAGCCTGGAATGCTTCTTCAGCTGGGGGAATTCAGGCCTGGACATTAATCACTTGGAGCCTGAACGCTTACAGTGGGTGACTGTCTTTTGGAGTCTGGGACCTAGAACTGTTTGAAGCCTGAGCAATCTCCTGGTTATTACTTTGTGACTGTGGCCTGTTTGCTGCCAGTGACTATTGCTTCTGGCATTGGAGAATGATTGTTTTGGGCCTGTGGGTTGGCTCACGGCTGCCTGAGGTGACTGGGCTGGCAGGTGACTTTCTCAGTTTCCTTTACTTAATGTTTGTGTGAGGAGAGGTGTTGGTTATGGTTTGGGGGAATGATGGTGACCGCAGGACCCTCTAAACCAACATCAACTGTGGGGCCCTGTTGTCCCCCAACTCCCACCACCACCACCTCTCCCCCCGGGGGACCTTGTCACCCTAATTTGACAAAACAGTTCGAGATGAAATGTTACATTCATCCTAACGTGACCATTGAGGTGTGGGTAGTCAGCGCCCACCACCATTGTTGCTGCATCGAAGATGTATGGGAAGGCAGTGTTCTTCCTGATGTCTGAGGGGGCTGTACACCTTGCCATGGAGAACGTGCTTACTGTCTGTGGGACATTCTTGCCTGTCAATCCTCTGGAAGTAGTTGCTCAGAGGGTCATTTATTGAACATCCCACCCTTTGTTCCAACTGAGCTCCTCCTCCTCCTCCTTCACCCCACCCCCATCTCTGTCAGCTCAGGGAGGTGAGGTCGGGCGTGGTGCTGCTACTGCTTGGTCTGAGGGAGGTCCGCCTGAGACATGTCTACCCCTTCCAGCGACAGCTTTTTATCTGCCTTGCCTGGGAAGAGGTCACAGAGGGTAACTTCACCATTGAGCACCAGAGTGAAGCATACCGGGTTGTCTGGTCAGTGGAGGGTGTGCGGTGTCATGCCTACAATGAGGTGGGGCACCTCCTGAGGAATTACCCTGCCTCGAAGGCTGCTGCCAACATCTGAGCGGCTGCAGCTGACGTTGTCACCCCTCCCCTTGTGAGCCCAAGCCCACCCCCATCCCCTCATCCCCCTTCAGCCCCTGCAGGAGGGAGCTACCTTGGTTACCGAACATCAGTGGGGTGGGAGGAGAGCGTCAACAGGGGAGGAAAGCCCCGAGAAAGGCTAAGTATTCGGGACCGGAATCCAGGAGGATTCCCCGGATGACCCTGAGACCATCAGTCCCCTGACTGGGGAGGGATCCCCCTCAAAGGATAGCATTCTCGGCCTGTCAGGAAGGCACGGGATTTGGAGCCCAGACCAGGGCACGTCAATGAAGAAAGCGCGAGTGAGCAGGTAGTGCCCCAATTTCCCCTGGTCCCTCATGTGTCCCAAAACCCATGAGGAATAAGGGAAACGGGAACAGTTTGGAGGGGGAGGCAGCAGGATGGTGGAGAGAGAGAACTGTCTCTTGTCTCCTACCCTTTCGGAAAAGGCGCAACTCCTTAGGGTCAAAGAGACAGTGGGAGGCCAGTACTAACACCTTCCCCCAGGGATGAGGGAGTAATGTCCCCTGAAAATCCCTTTCTCTCCTCACATGGAGAGGGGTCACAAACCTGCCCCTGCAGTCCACCACAACTGGGCAAGGCAGCTCAGATGCTGAGGTGAACGCGGCCATTGAGATCTTGCCCACACCACACAAACTGGTAGGCCTCGAGGTTCCACCAGAGAGTGCATGGGTGCCTTGAGGGTGCTCCTTCCTGGGTCTTTATATCGAGCACACCTGCCCCTTAGTGGGGATTTTTTACCTGACATGGAAGGTGGCCCAGTGCCGGGAGTGCAGCAGGTTTCCGAACTGTTGCCACCCAGGGGGGCCTGACATTTTAGTCAACGTCTTAGTCGAGTCTGGTATAATCCAAGACTTGGAGGCCCCTGGAATAGATCTCCTGTTATTGACCCTTGGGGTAGGGTCGAGGTGGGGGTGAGTCCAGTCTGTGACCCTGGACCACTCCCT